TTGAGCAGGAGCTGCAGCGGCAGCCCCTGCCTCCGATCGGCATTGGCAAGAGCAGCCTCCTGGACTGCTCGCCTGCAGTCAGGAGGCACCCGGGTAGTTCATAGGGCTTCCCAGGCACTTCACGGGCAGGTAGTTTTCAGTAGGCACGGGTAGTCTTCAGGATTTGGCCGCAGCACTCAGGAGGAGCGCTGCAGTGGTCTTCAGCGCTAGGTAGTAGTTAGCGCTAGTGGTAGTCTTCGGCGCTGGGCGCCCATAGCCATAGAGGTAGCCTTCAGCGCTGGGCGCTATGATAGGTGGTAGATAGTAGAGTTGGGAGAGACACTGGCGGAGGCCAGTGGTACTTACCTGTGGCGCCATCGCTCCAGCTCCATCTGCGAGGTACCTGCGTCAAGGCATCAACTTCACAGGTTAGTACTGGACACAGAGAGAGAGAGAGAGTTCTTCTTCTTCCTCTTCTAAGTCCACCATCTCTTCTCACCCTCTCCCCACCTGACTTCTCGGACTACGACAGAGAGAGAGACAGAGTTGTGACTCGAGACTTGACGACATTGGATCCAGACTGGACATTTGGGATTCAGACATTTTGACGAGGGACTATTTGGGCATGTGCCGAAGACTTGGTGTTGACGACATTCCCATCTTTCCCTCCTCTTCGTCTCATCCCCTCTTCTTCATCTGTGTATGTGTGGGGCTGGCGCAGTCTTCCTGTGTGAAGCGCCAGACCCCTTTCACACCCTGGGACGATGATGAGGATGTATGTTCAGAGCTGCATTGCAACATTGATTGTTCGGATCACTGGTATCTAAGTCTTCCGCTGTGCTATCTTGTACTTTGTATTAAGAGGTCGGTTCTTGTTCTGGTCTGCACGTTACAGTATGCAACACTATAGCTGGGCCAAGTACTGGTGGTTTAACAACGAGCTCTGGCACAGGCAATTGATAGATAGTAGATACCATCCACAATACGGCCACAAACAAACCAGTTGACCCCCCTCCCTACTGTTTGCCTTAGTGATTCACTGACCTGTCAGCCGACTTACGGCCCACGGTCACCCACCCCATCAGTCTGACTGACCTAACATGAACTGCAGGCCCGACCGGAATAAGCCCATGCCAAAACAAACAAACAAACAAACAAACATAGGACTGCAACAAAGAAAAGAAGCTAAAGAGGTGAAAGAAAGGAAAGCCCCTTAACAGCAGCGAACTGCGACAGTACAAGCAGATACAAGCAACCAGCAGCAGCAGCAGCAGCACTGCTGCAGCAATATCAAAGAACTATCCATCATTGGACAACCAACAGCAGCGGCAACAACAAATACATAAAAACAAGCAAACAACACAGCATCAAAAAACGAGTAAGTCTGGAGAGAAATCCTTTTCAACTTTCAAGTGAGATTAGCTCAGTTGGTTGAGCACGAAAGAGGCATTCAGGAAGTTGTGGGTTCGATTCCCCACGTCGTCTATTCGATCCCCCGTGGCGCCCTGCGGCATGCTTCGGGCTCGTTAGCTGAGATATGCGGCCTGTCCCCCCTGGCTGGTTGCGGAATTAATCTGAGCTTTCCAGCTCGCACCAGGCGTTAGGAGCTTGCGTGCTGCTCCCCGCACAGAGCAGAGATAGGTAGGCTATAGATAGGTAGGCCTAAGCATTCCTCCCTCCTCCCGACCCATAACCCTTAGCTACCCATCACTTGTGCAAAAAGATAAGGGAATTGAGGTAATAACTGGTCTGTGAAGTTACGGAGGTAGGTAGGTAGGTAGGTAGGTAGGTAGGGTGAGGTAGCACACACAAGGTTGAGAAGAGAGGAGAAAAAAATGAAAAAAATAGTAAAATACACTGCTCATGTCAACGGCACAGACCCATTTGTCCGATGTCTACGAAGAGGTGAAAGCTCTTTGTTGATAACATAAACTTACCAGTCCTTCTCTTTCGCAACATTGAGCCCGAGTCCCGCAAGTGCCGCGATCCCGCCAAACAAGTTGATGGTGGCAATCACATACAAAAATGACTTTCCAGTAATGTGTTGGTCAAGAAGCAGTGCCCCAACTGCAAATGAAGCAGCAATGATTGAAGCATTCTGGATAACCAAGGAGGTTTGAACTGCCTGCAAAAAGTTGGCAATACACTTCAGCAAAAGGAAACAGGATAACCAATACGCCTAGCTCTGTTGGCACACCCAGAACCTGTTGAAATACAGACCTGAGTTTAAGGCTGTCGCCCTTTCTGTGTGAGAGAGTACACCCAGAACCTGTTGAAATACAGACCTGAGTTTAAGGCCGTCGCCCTTTCTGTGTGTGTGTGTGTGTGTGTGTGTGTGTGTGTGTGTGTTACATGCTGAAAGCCTACACACGGGCCCCTCACGGGACCCGAGGCTGGAATAGGGCCCCCAGGTCGCGTCACCGCAACCTGAAGGCCCTATGGCATTTTTACTTGGGCCTGCATCAGAAAAACGCCAGCTTTAGATTATTTTTA